ATATCCATGGAGGAGGGAAAAGTGAGGTGATGTTATTGTTTGAATCAAACATTTCCCAGTTGAAGGTCATCTAAAAGGCAACCCAGACTCACTGGTAGGTTTTTTTCTTCCATACTCTGGATCATGCCCGTGGTTCCTTGAGCAGCTGTGGACCAAATTCACCTGCAAGAGACATCACTGTGTCTCCACACCACTCTCCAATGGTTCAAGCACAGCTGGGAGCTTGCCAGCTTTCCACCACTAAAGTAAAATGGTAAATGGCCTGTACTTAAATGGTGCCTCTTCAAGTCAGTTGATTCCAAAAGCACTTTACACTACATTTAGTCTCACACCCATTCACACACTGACGGTAGTAATGGGGCCTCATCCACAGTCAAGGAGGATGTGATCAAATCAACTTAACTTGGATCTCTACCTGACAAGAGCTATTATCCTATATGACTGTTTTACTTCATGATAATTGGCTATCATATCCCAGATGATAGTCTGAATGAAGATGATGACTTAGCTTAGGTTTTGGAACTTCTTCCTCACCCCTTGGATATCAGGTAAATGTCTCTCCTTCATGTTTAGGCATTATTATTACATAATTATTACAAATTAGAAGGGTGTCCTAATTATCCACACTATCTATAAAACCTGAAAACAATTAATTGTATGAATTGTCATAATTTGATTATTTTTGCATCGCTCAGACAAGCTTACTTTCAAAAAAAAGATTTGCAATTTTTCCACTATGTCAGACTCACCACCTGTAAGTGAAAATGGGGAAGAGCACGCAGTACAGCCTGATGTAAACATATCACCAAAATGATTGACGATTACGAGGACCACTTATTTTGATGCTTCACCCGAAAAAAGAACATCCTTTACTATACCTTTAATTTAAGATAACAAAAACGTTTTTGTCTGTCAATATGCTCTATCCAGAACTCAAGTTCAAATATTTCATCTAGTTTCATGTGGTTTAATTCATAAAAACTCTTTGCCATCCGATTATTAATCGATTATTCGAAAAAATAATCAACAGATCAATCGTTTTGCAAAAATAATCATTAGTGGCAGCCCTAATATAAACGTTTAAAGCAGTTCTAAAGAACTTCCCATTTTGTTCGATTTTGGCCTCCCCCAGTGGACAAAAGCTGAACTCTTTTGGCTGAGGAAAGACAGCATTTCCTATGAGGATCAGCACATAGCATGGTAAAAGTCAGATCTTCTGGTCTGCAGTGGATGGAACTTATTTAAATCTATTGATATGTCATAAACAGATGCTATCACACCTGCTCTTTTAGAATCCATGATATTATCTTTACAAGAACAACATAAGAGAGGCTTTGTGCATTTTTAAGTCGCAAACATGTCTGTGCCATTTTACCTCCCGAGTGGCTAAATCCAAACATTGGTAGGCCTGCACCAGTTGCTGCTTCCCCCAATCAGCTCTATAAGTTCTGCTAACCTTTCCTACATTTCCAGAACAGATTGGATAAGAGCAGGCCCAGATTGATAACTTGGAGAACTAAATCTAGAGTACTACATATCAGTCTGGCTTTCCATTGAAGTAACACTTTATTTTTCGTCCTCCATGATTTATCTTTTTTAACATGTGTAAAGAAGAACAGAATGTGTGTAAATAACATATCAATTTTAATAGAATATACTACAAGAAACTAATAGTACTAAAGCAATGGCGGACCTAGGGGACAGCTATTTGGGCTACAGCCCTGGATGTTTCCCCAAGAGTTCCGGATCTTGCTTCTGAGCTGATCTGAGTAAATTATGCAGTACTGGAATTCACCAGAGAGTGGCAGCATGCGCAAAAATGCGGCACTGTCTGCGGTAACCATCAATTTGGGAGAGGTGCAGCAGAGTGTCTGCGGAGGGGGCGAGGACGTCTTTTTGTTCACTGCGACACCTACGCAGACGACCTAGTTTCACACACTGAAGCAAGTGAGGCAGACGTGGCGGATCTGACCATTTTTACGGCGCTTCTGATCGATTTCTCTGTAAAAACAGCTCAAATAATCATGACAAGGTTGTAACATCCAGTTTAATCAGCAGCTGTTGTTTACAAAATTGTAAAATAAATAAATAGACTATGTCCTTTTTAAGCTGTTTTGTGTTATTTTTTTAAATGCCAAGAGAAATGGTCTTTTTCCAACTTTTGCCACTTAAGCTTGACAGAAATAAAAGTCAGTCACCAAACACAGTTTCCCAACTTGTGGTGTGTACTTTTTATTTTTCATTGCTGATATAAGAGGATGGAAACTGGCTGATAGCAGGGCACAAAAATTAATACTTTCTGAAAAGATGAGAGGGTAGACTTTCTGGTAAATCCCGTTCAATATGACAGATTACTGTATTAAGGACATTTCTAGTATATGACATGCTATCCCACACAACAATTTTTTAGATTTTGGAAACAGTTGTTCTTTATTTCCCAAAGATGTGGTAGGAGGAGAGGAGTGAATGTGTCACACTCCGGGTTCTATCCGGGTGCAAGCCAGTTTTTCTCTCTCTCTCCTCTGCAGGGATGGACGGGCAGGTGCACTACATCTGAGGTGATCACCACCCTTCTTAAGGAGCTGGAACCAGGAGGAGGGTGTCAGTTCGTTAACGCCACAGCGTTGGTAACAGACCAAACCCAAGCCTATTCCTAGTAAAAGTTAAACCCTAGTCTAAATCCATTTTTGATCCTTTTTCTGCAGAACCCTTGTTTCTGACCCCTGGACCCAGCCGTGAACCTTAGACCTTGGACCCTCCGCCTGAGAAACAACCAGGAACCCGAGAAGGATCTCGGGTTAACCACCATTCAGCCCTCCTTCCTGCAATCACCTGCCTGTCCACCCTCGAACCTCCAACCAGGGAGAGAGTACTGGTCAGCACACGGACCACCGGGGACACTTCCCCCCCAAGACCGGACCACAGCCTCTCTACTGTGAGTGTCACCCCCACCAAAATCTTCCAGCACAGTTTCCTCTCATTCACCAGCCTCTTCTTCTCTGCAGAAGCCCAGAAGAACCTGACCTGACCAAACTACTTCCAGTTCATGTCCACTGCCTTGTTTCTCAATAAAACTTCTTAAACCTTCTCCAGCCTCTGTAGTTGCTCTCGTCCAGAGTCACCTTCAATTATGACAGAATGTATATTTCAGCTGCCTGAAATAATCTGTTCCCCCTCCATAATATGGGAAGAAATTAATTAACCTGCAAATCATTAACTGTGTTTATTCCTCTCTTCATCAACAACAAATCCTGTAGATTTGGTAATATTTCTTCCATATTTACCAGAGTTATGAGAGGGAAATCATATATTTTAGCCACCTGATATAATCTGTTCCCCCTTTGATGCTCTTTATGAAATTTATTTTCTGTTTAAATGTTTATCTAACAATTTACAAATATTCCCAAAAACAAATTCAAACTAAAACCACTGGACTTTGTTTTCCAAGTTTGAAGATATTTTGCTTTCCATCCAGAAAGCTTTCTCAATTCAAAATGTCTGGAGCAATGCGACTCCAGACATTTTGAATTGAGAACCGAAAATACATTTCATAAAGATCATCAAGTCATATTTATTTTAATTATTTTGGATTTCAAAATATAAAATAATATATGTTTTAAGCATAATATAGCAAAATAATGACAGTTTAAACATTCGCAGGATTTGTTTATTTTTTTCCCATGTTATGGGGAATGGATTATATCATGTTACTAAAATACTTGATTTTCCTCTCATAACTTTGGAAAATAATAATCAAATGTCACCAAATCCAGAGGAATTGTTGTTGATGAAGAGAGGAATAAACACAGTTAAAGACTTACAGGTGAATTCCTTTCTTCCCATGTTATGGAGGGGGGACTGATTATTTCAGGCAGCTGAAATATCCATTCTCTCCTCCTCCTATATATTTGGGAAATAAAGAGCAACTGTGTGCAAATTCTAAAAAAAATTATGTTTGATAGCTTGTCGTATACTAAAAAAATTTCCTTAATCCAGTAATCTGTCATATTTTACATTAGAACTGGATTTACCCGAAAGTCTACCCTCTTATCTTCACCCTCAGGGCTAAGCCCCTGATCTCCTAGAATCCTAGATCCGCCCCTGCACTTAAGATTTATATAATATATCCTTAAAAAACTACCACAACAAGTTTTTTTTTACCAAGGAAAAGGCTATATCACATGAGCAGTAGGCTTTTTTTTTTACCACATTACTTTTTGCCTTCAGTAAACTTCAGTATATTTAATATATTTAATAATAGGAAACAAAATGTCAGCTGAAAGAGCGCCTCCTGGTGCCTGGAGATTAAACTTTTTATGAGATAACCGAAGCAGATTCGAACAGGTAGATTTTTTTTTGTTTTGTTTTTTTGACAATCAGTTAACAAATGGTTTTCAACACTTACACAAAATAACCGTACATATTTAAAGGTTTCTCATTTGTTATATAATTACTCGACATAGGTTGGACCCCCTGACCCACAGCATTGGTAAAATAAAAAGAGCATAATTTGCGCTTTGTCAGCGAGCTAATATATATTGAAAAAGTATATTTGAAAGTAGTTACAATTTGTCTTTTCTAAAATCCACCTTAGAACTTGGACGCCATGCGTTACATGTGGCCTTCTTGAAAGTGAAAGAAATAGGGCGAAATGGGTGTGTGTGGGGGTGGGGGGGGTGCGGATGGTTATGAGGACATTATGACTCGTTATTCATTTGGGTCTTAATTTTCAAACTTTCCTTTTTGTACTTTATTACCAACATCTTTGCCTTTTTCAGTTAAAAAAAAGTCACCCTGTTTTGAAATTGATGTAATGTCCCCAAAAATGTAATGCCTCTGTTATAAGCAAGACATCCATACCCATATTGATCTGAGCTATTTTTCTTTATATCATTGATGTGTTGATTTACACAAGCATGTTTTAAATGTTATATCTTCTTTCTGATGCAACTAAAACAAACGCAACAGGGCATCAAAACATGCGTGTTGATTTCTCTTACCTTTTCAGACATCAAATTGGACGTCTGTGTTATGCAGAATAAAAAGGCTTGGTAATCCTCAAACGTGAGCGCCACTTTCCAAATTCCTCTCCCCCGGCTCCCTGTAACTCCGGTGACTGCGCTGCGTCTCCCCTGGAGAGGCTCGATATTCCAAACGCGTCTTTTTGAACCAAATGCCCAATATCCGACCGAATTCACAGTAATCAAAAAGTACTTCAGATGATCATATCGTCATTTAGCAAAGCAATTTGTTACATAACAGTGTATAATTAGACGGAGGTGTAAGGTGGTAAATAATCGGACGCTGGCGCGCATTAAACGGCGGTGCGCATTTGGTCACCGCATTTCTTCCTCCAGTTCCCTTCTTCCCTCTGTCTGCTTTCAGCACCTGCAATCGCCCAAACTTAATTGGTAAGAGTGAAGAATAGAACTGTATCCAAGTTGAAAAGGGAGAGCTCCATCCGCGCAGGCAGGCGCGCTGCGCTTCGGTGAGGGCAGAGTAAACATGCGTCTTAGGGGGAAGGATGTGTGTTGTTGTAACACAACATTGAAAAAAAAAAAAATAATAATAAACTATTAAAATCAAGACGTCACAAAAAAGTGTTCCTCCTTGTATGGATCTTTGCGTTTACACCAACTTCAATAACACCATCCAAACGATCCCCATCTTTGCTCTGTGGTGCAGAGAAAACGGAGCTTCTCGCCGACAGTTGGCTTGAACGTGCATCTCTGCTGGACTAGTCCATGCAAACTCGGGGAATTCCTCAATAGAGACGCCCAAAATGAAAATAAAAAAAAGAGAGCTACAAAACGCGTACAGCCTTTGGCTCCAGAACGCAGCCTATACCAAATATCTCACCCGCCTGTTGCCATTATTTTATGTGAATCCAGCGCATGTTTCAAAGCGCAGGACTTTACCAGCAATCGTTAACAGTGCGTAGTACAAAGCAGGGACGCGCTCTGTGGGTGATTTCAGCTGAAAGACGCCTCTGAGCTGCACACTGCTGTTCATATTTCATTATAAGATGTTTAAACTATAAGGTGCGAATTTAGATGCATTAGATAAACAATTAACATATGCAATTTACAAACATTAATTTTATTTCCATAGTCTATGTGCTGGTTTATCTGTCCTTGGATACAGGTGGGGTGGAAAGTAAAAGGCCCTTTGAGGTGCAGCAAATTAATATTTAAACGGCAAGCGGGAACGCAGAAGGAAGCACAAAGAGCGTGTGCGCGCGTGGCCCTGTGTCGCGCACAAGTGAGGAAAGGAGGAACAGAAGCTAATACACAAGTTAATAATTTGTGCATTATGAGAGTTTATTCAGCATGGAAATATAGGGGGTTTACAACTTCAAGGAAAATGATAACTGATAGTGAGAGCTTTGGATACTTATGGGTCCCACAGAGGTCATAATACATTTTAGAGATGTTTATTCTCTATTAATGATTCGTTTGGATCCCTTGGTTGCTGGCTTTCCAAAAGCTAATTGATCTGACTTAGTTGGGGTAATTATACTTGTAGACAAGGACAGACAGATAATGAGGAAAGGAACTCAACTTCCCAAAAGTGTCAGATTGGTTGAAAGTTTGAGAGGACCAAATTGCAGACTGAAGCTGAAGGTAGTTTTTTTGCAGATTTAATAATCCAAAAAGGGCAACAGAAGCAAAAATCCACAAACACAAATCCACAAAATCCAACAAAATACTGAAATTCAGAAAATCTTACATAAAGGATAAATGAATAATGACGATGAACCAACAAACAGTGACTAAGCAGGAGGTGTATATATGGGAGACAGAAACAAAGACCAATTTTTATTTTTTTAACAGTGTCCTGCCTGGTAATGTGGAAATAAGAATAATTGTCTTGATTGCCAAAAAGAGAGCACGACAGATTTTGCTTTCACAAGTGGAGCAGTACTGCTATCGCCATAGCGTTCCGCTTGATTTTTGCATATGAATTGTTTAATTATAATACATGCAGGGAGTATTGCAGATTATATGGACACTGCACTGTAAGTATTACAGGAAATTAAAAACAGAAAAAAGGAGAAAAGATAAAAGAAAGAGGCGATAAAAGGGAGACAATGATAAAATGTCTTCAGTCTGCTTCATCACCTGCAAAGAGAGACGTAAAAAAGAACAGCACAACCAACAGATATAGTAAAAGACATACAATAAAGTAACACCTTGATTCTATCGCTGAAGTATAAATAGTATTATTTAATCTGACATGTACACTGTGGTAGCTGAAGATAAGAATATGGGCTTTCTGTATGGAAGTGAATCTCTAAGTACCTAGAACCAAAGCACCTGTAGTTTTTTGTGAGAGCGCACTTGTGCATGTAAAGTTTATCCAATGGGAAAATGCTCAATAGTGGTTGTGAAAAACCAAAGACTCGCCCCCCCCCGCCCCGAAGATCACCGAGGTGAGCGCCAGAGAACCCAAAGTCCAAGACGTCCAAAGGAATCCCAAGAGCAAAAGCGACCAGGAGCCAGGAGGGGCAAACCAAGGAAATCTGACCCCCCACCAAGGTAGGAGGAGAGACGGCCCCTAGGAAATTCCCCAATGCCGAAGCCCCCAGGAGCAAGGGGACAAGTACACGGGCTCCGCCAGCACCACCCGACACCGGGGCATCCACCCCCAAACACCGAGCACCACCAGTACACCGGCGAGCCAAAGCGCCAGCCAGCAGAGGGGGCAGGACGGGGGGGTAATGGGCTCTGCACTTATGGAAGACTTGAGATGGAGATTTGGAGCAGGTGTGGACAGAGGAATTAAGAAGGGAGCTGAAGGAAAGGAGAACTGACACAAGATGGCAACAGAGGGCAAACATGAAATACCTAAGACCTCAAATACAATAAAAATGACTAGAATAATAGAAAATGAAAATAAAACCATTGAAAACTCAAAGATAAAAATGAAACAGAACCAAAACCATGACACAAAGGTCCTAACTTTTCCTTCACTTCAGTACTATACCAGCAGGGTTTCTCACGTTTCTGTCTTTATTACTTGTACTGCCTGAGTGTAAAAAGGGGAGTTTTTAACAGATTTTAGGAGAATATCCTTTTAAGATATTATATGCTATGAAATTAGTAAAAGCAAAAATACTACAAAAACTCAAACCAAAGATACCAAAAAGGTGTAAGATTTTAGAACATCTTTTTACCAACTCTTTATCTGTTATGATTATATTGTTCTTGAGTTAAAATATACGATACCAAGTATGATCCTCTTAGTGTGTGACACAATGAACATGATTTGCTAGGTGGTTAACTGTAGATAATAATGATGGAGCCAAAGTTGGTGTGTTATCCTTTGTCTGGGTCTCTCCAGTGAGTTGTGACTGACACCTAACCTGTCAATAGTGTTTCCTTCCTCCCTCTTATTGACTGGATAGAGGCTCCTTTCATTGTTTTGACTGACTGGAACTTCTTAACAATGCTGCTTCCCTTTCCCTTCTTCTTAACACCAATTAGACTAAAGCTTCTATCACTCTCTCTTTTAATCTTGCTCTTAAATTGCCTAGAAATGATCTCATTCGGGTATACTAGAACAGGATTTTTTTTGGTGAGTAATTTATAAATCAGTCCATTTGATATAGCCTTTTCTTATAATTTTGAGGATAATGGCTGACAGACAATGAAGACAAAAAAAATCAATAGTTCAAAAAAGAGAAAATAACATCAAATCAATGAAACAGTATCTTAAAGACAAAAAAAAAAAAAAAAATATATATATATATATATATATATATCAGGCTTCTGAAAGGTATCACTATTAGTTTTGGGCTTTATTGGCATGGATATCTTCTTAAGTGAGGTGTTGTATAAAGGCGATCAACCTGTGGCACTGCTCTATTTGAAGCCCACGTTGCTTCAGATCACCAACTATCACTGTTGTCTGTCACCTTCCTCTTGAAAATACCCTCAATCCTTCAGATAAGGCCATTTCGCTGTTCTATCAAGCACAGGAAAACCATGGTCACTGATCCAACTTTTATTAGTATTAACTGTAGGCAGGCGCCAAGTCTTGCTGAAAAATGAAATTAGCATCTCCATTAAGCTTGTCACCAGAAGGAAAAGATTGTGCCAGATTCCAGGAACATGGCTGCATTGATTGTGATCATCAAAAGACCCAGTGGACCAACAAAAGCAGATGACATGCCGCCAGAAATCATTCACTTTGGGAATTTGCCTCCTCTCTTTTCATCTGAATCTGACACCTTCAAATTTTACTTTCATTTGACAAAAGGACTTAAGAACCATGTGAACAGAGCGGACCAGCTGTTTTTTCCTTAGTCCATGTATTACCTCTCATGCTGTTTCAGGACAGGAAGAGATTCACATAAATGTATATTTAAATTTTATATTTGTAGTCCATGTGTGAGATTCATCTGATGTAGTTGCCCTTGATGTGGCAACTAGCCTCAGACCTCTCTTTGTGAAGCTCCATCATATACTTTAATGGATTTGGCTTGCTGCTCTTTTTCACACCTTTCTGTTTCAGTAGTCATCAAATAATTGTCATAAATTTCCCTTTGTGTATCTTTCATATCTATTGCAAGGATTGGAAATCCCAGGTTCTGAGGGATGATATAGTCTATATACAATTTATTTTATTTTTTTTATTTATGTGTTTATTTGAACAGGGACAGTGCACATTAATAAACATTTCTGTAAATGAGCCAGTGTTAGCTAAGTAGCTAATTTTCAACTGTAGTCCCTGGGCAAGGTTTAAAATGCCAACATAATAAAAACAACAACATTAAAAATTAGTGCAAACAATAAAATACATAGTTAGTAATCTACATAAAAGTTGGACATTGATCTGTAAAAAAACAAAGACGTTATTATAAATATAAGATTTAAAAAACATTGATAAAAGTGCATCAGACAGGCAGACAGAAGTTATTGATTATGATTACAGGTTTGATTCTCCTGTAACCATGCTTTTAACTTGTTTTTGAAAGTTCTGTATGTGTCTGCATTGCGTATATGAGTTGGAATGGTGTTCCAGGACTGAGCTGCTCGCACTGAGAAGGCTGACTGACCAAATGAGCTTTTTCTCAGTGGGACTGTAAGGTTATTTGAAGAGACAGATCTGGTGAGTCTGCTACCTTGTGTGAAAAAAGCAGTAAGTGGTGGTGGAGCAAAGCCATGTAAAATTTTAAAGACCAAATTTGCATCATGAAATGTAACTAAATTTTCCCAGTTTAGCAGGACATATATATATATATATATATATATATATATATATATATATATATATATATATATATATATATATACACAATATATATATACACTATATATTGTATGTATAGTGTACCAGTGTTGTATAGTAACGAAGTAAAAACACTTCACTACTGTACCTAAGTATATTTTGGAGTACTTTATACTTTCCAAGAGTATACATTTTTTTGAGAACTTTCACTTTTACTTCACTACATTTACGAACTTAATTGCATACTTTTACCCCGATACATTTTCAATGTTTGGTTTAGTTACTAAGTAAAAAAAAACAAGAAAAAAAACAAGTGAGAGAGCGAGAGAAACGCAAGTGTTTTGACCCCACCCTCTGACTACAAAGTCGGGTCTTGCCCTGGGCTTGTTCATCAACACCAATAGGATATAGATTGGTCACTAGGCACTAATGTGAAATCTTGAGCATTGTTTTCAGTTCCACACGTGGTGTATTTAGCTTAAGCTAAATGTTGACTGTAGCAGGCTTTTGAAGATGAACAGAAGATTATACAGTTTCAAGTGATAATGGGGTTATGTGCAAGGATGACCACAAGGGGTGGATAAGATTTGGAGGGGAAGAAAAAAGTCAAGGGCAAAAGTATGGAGGGGATGAGGGGCTTGTGTTTACAAAGTGTTTAAGATTTAGTTAATTGGCCTGAAGTGCATCTTTT